ATATGGTGACCTATTTGGTCGGATGGACCTAACCTATATGGTTGCCTACGGCGGTGTTACGTTCACCCTATATGGTGACCTATTTGGTCGGATGGACCTAACCTATATGGTTTTAGTATGGTTAGGTTAGGTTAGGTTAGGTTAGGTTAGGTTAGGTTAGGTTAGGTTAGGTTAGGTTAGGTTAGGTTAGGTTAGGTTAGGTTAGGTTCCCCCTCGTGGGTGTCGCCTTGTTGTGGCGAGGGGGCTTGAAGGCCGGAGATCCCTCCTGGGGCCATCTGGGCGACTCTGGTCGCTCGGATGTTCCGGGGAGGGTGAACCGGCTGGACCAAGTACACCCACGGTGGCCCAATGAGCCGATGGGTCCCTCCTGCCGGGGATCTAAGGATCCCTGGTCGGAGCGACCCATCGGTGAGAGCCACCAAAACTGCATGGTGGACGCTGCACCATGCAGAAATAGGGACGTAAGAGGCTGGGCTGGGGAACCTAGGTTCCCTGACTGAGACTCGAAGGTCCCAAGCGAGGGTTAGCCGAGCTCTTAGCCTGTGTGGCAGTCGGGCTGCCGGGTGAGCGCTGTGCCCGGCAGTATTAGGGGACGGTTGGCGGGCCCGGTCGCCAAATGGCGGCCGGTCTGGTTAGGTTGTGACCGGGGTACGACTGCCCTAAAATTTTGGTGAGCTTTCTCCTATTGTGGTCGTATGGTGCTTCGACCGAGGTCTCCCCTATTGTGGTACGATGGTTCCTATTTAGGTCGTATGGACCTAACCTCTCTGGTTACCTATTGCGGTGCTATGGTCACCCTATATAATGACCTATTAGGGTCCTATGGACATAACCTCTCTGGTTACCTACCGCGGTGCTATGGTCACCCTATATAGTGACCTATTATGGTCCTATGGACATAACCTCTCTGGTTACCTATTGGTATACCGTATGGACCACCTATTACGACGACCTATTGTGGTCTTATGGTCCTCTCCTATTATGGTTGCCTATTGGTTATCGTATGGCTTAGCATGCAACCGCGTATGGCTTAGCACCTACCTATTTACCCACTATGGTCAAAAAATTCAAATTACGCGGGAAAACGCGCATTATAGGGTTTCTAGACGGGAAACCTCGAGTTAGAGCGATTGAATGGATCAGATTTTCAAATTCACTCCGGGCCCCTTGGGGCCCCCCTCGAAAACTCGCTATCTCGTCCCTCAGCTTTGCCCTGACGTCACCCGAGTGTCGTACGAGCTGAAATAACGCGAAACGCGTTGGTTCGTGTCGGTTTGATGGTCGCCACCTTATTTTCTCGGATCAATAAGGAAACCGGTGAATCTACAGTGACTTATCGACTGCGTTGACGTTAATAAATTTTTAAAATTCGAAATCTTTAATTTCTGATCGCGTTTTGCAAGTTCGAATCGCAGGACTCACGAGTGCGCTTTGTATTCTAATGTTACATGCAGTTCAGGCTTCTCTTTCTCTCTCTCTGGCTGGACGACGCTGAAAACGCGAAGTGCGTAGCGGTCGGGTGTGTTCGTAAATGACGGTACTCGGTCGATTTTCAAAAATATCAAAATATATTATCGGATCTAGTTAAAATGAACAATAACAAACTCAAATCTATTCGTATTTGATTCGGATGCGCTCGGATTCTCGTTATTTTTCCGATTTTCGGTTTGCGTGTCACTGACTCAGGCCGCGCCTCGAAAGTCAGTTCGGAATAACGACGCCCGCACTCTTCCACGCGAGGACAGCACTCACGGATCCGCGGAACGCCGGAGACGTCTGTTGCGCAGGGTATTTCCCCTCTATCCCGATTCTACGCGACACAATTGACGGTACGTGGCCGTTACAAAATGGCGGACGTGGATATTACACGCGTCAGTCGCTCGGAATCGCCGTAAAACGCCGTGCCGCTTACAAAACCATGCGACTCACATTCGCAGTACAAGCTCGGGCGGTGAGAGATGCAGCTCTCCTCCTTCAGCTCTCGCTGACGCCGAAGACCTCGTGACGTAGGGGGTCGGTAATGGCCGCCCGTCCGCGCGTCGGATTCCTGGCTCTCTGCAGGGGTATCCTCCGTCTCGGCACTGCATCCAATAGTTCCTCGTGCACGTACACACGCCTCACTTTCGCCCGGTGTGGCTCTAGGAACGTTCTCGGCTTTAATCGCGCAGATTTTGCAATCTTTCGGCCACTCACGAAATAACGCGTCGCGCTGTGATGGCCGCCCAGAACAGTCTGAAGAAGAAGCCTTCGTTTCCGACTTCTAGCTTCCGGATCGTCGCAGATCCAATGTGCCATCGTCAACGCATGCGTACACGTGGCTTTTCAGGGTCACGTGACCTGTTTTGGCCTATCAGGAAGCGTGTACGTGCTTCGCGCATGTGTCTTGCCGTCGCCGGTTATGCGTGCGCAAGTCGCGCATGCCCGATACTGCCCCGCAAGGGCTTCGGGGTAACGCGCGCTGTTCGAACCGCTCTCAGGGTCCACCGATGCGAGGTATCACGTGACCCTCGCGCATACTCGGTTGTAATAGTAGCGCGCGTCGCTAGCGCATGCCCAGTGGCCGTTCGCAAGGCCTTAGGGGTAAGGCGCAATTTATGAATGCCTCAGAATTAACTCCGAGGCTGCGCTATAGAGGGTGCTGGTTACCCTTCACGCCTGCGTATTCCTAAGGTGGCGTACGCACCTCGCGCATGTCCAGTGACCGCTCGCAAGGCCTTAGGGGTAAGGCGCAATTTATAAATGCCTCGGAATTAATTCCAAGGCCCGCACTATAGGGGGTGCTGGAGTCCCTTTACGCCGGCGCGATGCTAAAGTAGCGTACGCACTCCGCTCATGCCCAGAAGTGTCACGCAAGGGCTTCTGGGTTTCGCGCAATATTTAAACGAATAGTTTGTGGCTCCAAAATATTAAAGTCTTGTATACATGTCGGTAATTGGAGTCCACAGACTATGAATCTCGACTTACTACTAAGATGACAGACCTTAATCATCATTTTGGTCTGCCGACGCTAAACGAATTACAAGACCCGCGTACTGACATCGGATTCATGTCCCTTTCGGCGGGCTCTTTAAATGCGCAGAAGTTCATTTCCGGTTTTCGCGAGATTGGGGTGTTCCCACCATATGATTTTGATGCAACTAGTGCCATTAGCCTCAGAATAGCTTGAAACAAAGGAATCCACCCGAATCCCGACTTTTTTGTAAAACTTAATATTTCGCGATTCGGAAACCATAGAACGACTTCTAAAATTAAATAAAAATGATTGACCATGCGATATAACCCGTTTTCTCAAATTTTTCACCATACTACCACATATGGTTGCTGACGTCACAGAGTTTTAGGAACACCCCCATTTGACGTGTTTTGGTCCATATGTTCCCTATTATGGAAACTTGGCCGTTCCCTATTATGGTGGCATAGCGCCTCTTATGGCAGGATAGATCCTGTTATGGAAGATCGATATTAACTGTGGTAGGATGGTGGACTCAATAATGGTACCATGGTCCTATTTATGGTGTATGGATCTAGTTATGGTAACTCGGTACCAAGGGTAACAGGATGGTGGACTCAATAACGGTACTATGGTCCTATCTATGGTGGATGGATCCAGTTATGGTAACCCGGTACCAAAGGTAACAGGATGGTGGACTCAATAATGGTACTATGGTCCTATCTATGGTGGATGGATCCAGTTATGGTAACCCGGTACCAAGGGTAACAGGATGGTGGACTCAATAATGGTACTATGGTCCTATCTATGGTGGATGGTAGGGTTAGGTTGCCCTGGGTACCAATTATGGCACTATGGTGCTAACTACTGTTTCTCACCTATTGGATCCTTATGGTCCGTTCGACATTTTCCTGGTATGTCCAGGTTATTCCCAGGTTCCTACCTTTTTCCTATGGTTCGGTTAGGTTATATCGCTATCTTTAAACGTTTAATCTTAATTTTAATCTGTTTAAAGGTTAGGTTCATGACTGGTCAGGATGGGAAAGTTCGGTTAGTTTAGTATATTTTTTAAGTACCCACCCTAATTCTCAGAACCCGCCCTAATTGGGTGTTTAATAACAATACACAGGAATTGCGTACTCTATGTCGTATAATATAACCTATCTCTGTTCTTAATCCAGAACTGTGCCTATAACAATAAAAAAGATAAAAAAGTTATACAAACTCAAAAATCATGGATGCTTATATGTCTTTACAATAAAACTTAAACAAAAATTCTTCTTCGTCTTTATCCTAGTCAGGTACTCCTGGTCCACCTACGCGTGCACCTGCCTCCTCTTCTTCTGCACCTGCTTTCGTGGCGTCGTCGCGGTGTTGCTCCTCCGCCACCCTGCATCCGGAACGGGTGCACCTGCCCCCGCTTGTTTTTGGTTAACTGGCGACTCGTATGAGCAAATGAAATATTTTTACGTTGTCTTTTTGTGCTCTGTAATATTTTGTGAGCGAGTATGAATCACCAGTTAGACGGAAACATAAAAAAATAAAAAAGAGACAAACTGATGTGTTCCACTTTGTATGTTAGAGTAAGTGGAACGAAAAATTGTTAAATAAAAATTGTCTTTTGTTTTCCACTCCTTGATATTTGTATGGAGTGGTCGTTTTATCAGTTTGTAATATAGCGGATGTTGTGTAGTTTTTAATCCGCTATGTTGAGTCGTATTCGGCTTGTTCTGGTGATGTATTAGCCTTTGTTGGTTCTACTTTTGCCCCCGCTGATTTTGAACTTGTCCCCGTTATGTTTGCTTCTGTTGTGTCTGTTGCTTGTCGAGGCTTCTGAGGTGTTAATTGGGACATTATAATTTCAGCTAAGGCTCTGATGTCTTGAGAGTCTGCTTGTAGTTGGTATGAATCTGAACTCTCGCTTTGTTGTTCTTCTTCTATTTGTAGTGTTTCGTCTAATTGCGGATCAGATTGTTCTTTTGGTGTAGATGCTCCTTTAGGTTTTATTCTTATGTTCTGATCCGGTGTATATAAGATTTCCTCAGATATTATTGTTGGTTTGTTTTGTGGTGAATATTTCTTGTTTTTAGGTCTCGGTTTTACATATCCTATTTCTGCTACAGGTCTGTATTGTGGGTTGTCATCTTCTTCTTCGCTGTCGGATGTCCTGTAATTTGGTATATATTGTTTAAATTGGCGTCTGGTTTGCCTGTAGACCTCTAATTCACCTTGTGTCCATGGGCGATATTGCCCGCGTTTGTTTCGTGGTCTAGGAATGGTATTGAGATTAATGTATGGCCTCTGCATTCGTTCTGAAAAACCTCGTTCGTATGAGTATCTGCTTATTGGTTTGTCTTTCTTTGATACTCCGCTGGTAGATGGTTGATTTGGGTCGAAGTGTGTTGGTGACTGTTCATCTACTTCGACTATGTCTATCGAATCGTCAGAGTTCGCTTGTCTTATTTGCTTTTTCATCTTCTTGTTTTGCTTTTCTATTTGCTCCGCTTCGCGTATAGTTTTCTCTATCGCGTTTCTTAGCTGTTGCTTGACCACTTCTTCTTTTCTTTTGCGGAGATCCTGTTCTTTCTGTATCGCTTTCTCTCTCCGTTGTGAAGCTTCCTCCAATAGCTTTTTCAGCTCTAGCACGTCGTCTGGGTAGTGTTGTTTCTCCTTGCCACTCATGTTGATTTCTGTGGATGAAAGTTCTACATTATCCGTTTCGTTGTCCTCGTCAGACGACACGGTTGTTACATGCTCGTTTTCGTTTCGTACATTATTCACGTACGCGGTTCTGGATTTTAAGCTATCTATTTCTATTCTTACCTGTGGGTTTGGGTTTAGGGTGGGTATTTTAAAATTGTTTATATTGTTATCTGTTATACCTTCCTCTGTTGTTTTTATTTCATCGTTGTTAATGGGACTGCCCCCGCTGTTCTGGGTTAAGCCCCCGCTATTCTCCATTATCTTTTTGTTATTATTTTTTAACTTTTTATCAATTGTTACTAGGCTCTTGTTATTTTTTACTTCTTTACCCGTGCGGATATTGCCCCCGCTGCTTTTTACTAAGCCTCTTTTGCTATTTGTTGTTAATAAGCTTTGACTGTGAAAATATATTGACCTGTTGTTCTGATATGAACCCTGACTTTCTAAACTTAAGCTCCTATCACTATCGGTATCAGGTGTTAAGCTTTCGCTTATTTTCTCTACATCCTCACTGATTTTAGTGAGTGTTTTATCTAATTTACGTAACCATTTACTATCGGAGTTCTCGCCTCCTTTCATTACTCCTGAGCCCGTATTTCCGTTCTTTTCATCGTCTAGGCTACTAAATCCTGAATACCGGGTTGTTCGCGGTTTTACTTTATCTCTTTCGTTTACCTCCTTTATGTAGATACCATTTTTCTTTAAGTCGAACGTTTCGTCCGAGTCAATGTGCCATGAACCGTTGTTACCGCGATCTGATTCTGAATTTGTTTCTACGTTTCGTTCCGGAAGGCTCTCTTCCGCTGAGGAACTTGAACTTTGTGTTAATTTTGAAAATAGTGCAATATTTACTAAATGTGTGTTTGCTGCTTTAAGAATTTCTGCCGGAAATCTTTGGAAATAACTTCTTATGACTTTGAACAAAGCTTGATACGGTATATCCCATTTTGAATCTACCTCTATACCTGTCACGGTTAAATGTGTTCGCGAATGAACTAATAGTGGGTCGTATCCCATTCTTACGAATAAATCGTTATATGATTCGAATAATTCTCTTACAAAATCTATGGTTTGTTGTTCCGACTGCCCTATTGGCATGAATGCAGCCATTCTCTCTAACGGTTCTGCGAATGATGTAAAGCATACGAACAACGAGTGCTCGCTCGTTTGGTATCTATCTGTCTGAGTTCCTTCGTCTACCATTCTATAACTATTGTGTCTGTAAGGTGGGTATGGAGGGTAAATAGGTGTATTCGTTATCGGCGTTTCCTGATAATAAGGATTTCTAATCGATGGCTCTCTATCGTAATATGGAACAGGAGATGATGTATCTCCTTCCCAGGACAACCGTGGGTTTGTGATATAACTAACACTAGTATCATTAGGTTCACCTAATACTCTATGTAATAAATAAAGTGGTCTCCATAGACCATCTCTATCTTGAAATACTCTTTGTTTCTCATCGTCCCAGAAATAATAATCTTCGGTATCCTTGTATTGAATAGGATGTCTTCCCGGCGGTATTTCTGGGTATTCGTCTTTATCTAACAAATTATTTGGATCATAATCCGGTCTCTCTTTGTATTCAACATAATACCATTTTAAATGGTTTTCTAATTTTGACGGATATCCTTCAGGATATGACTCGGGGTTGGGTATTAACTCATGCGTATCTCGTGATATATCAAATTTAGTGGGTGTATAATATTCTGGTAGCTGTACTCGTTCTACCATATCGCAAAATGCATAAGATTTATTAACTTGTTTTACCCAGTCTTCTACTTTTTGAGACCTACACGCGTCGTGTTTATCATAAAATCTATCCGCATCCGGCGGAACTAAATACTGACTCTCTCGGAGTCCCCGATTTCTACGAAACATTCCCCAAGGTGTTTTTACCTTATCTACAGCTATTAAACGCGCTGCCTGTTCCGTCAAGTATTCTTCCGGTTTGGGAGTTTGATCTAACCACTTTATGTTTCTCTTAACCCTTTTAGCCTTGGGTCCTGATCCTGAACTACTTTCCGAGTTGTAAATACTTTCCGTCCTAACTCTAAATTCTTCCGTTATACTGATCTTTTTCGCATCCCTAACAGCATCCTCGTGCGCTCCGGGGTATGTCTCATCCCAACGAAGAAGACAATCGTCTTCACCTACTTCTTCCTCCGACTTCTCTTTCCTTTCCTCTAGTTCAGCACTTTCTATTTCAGGTTGCAAACTGTCCCAAGTTTTGTGATATACGTCTCTTTCTTTTACTGATCCTCCCTTTTCTGTTTCTGGTGGTGTTTCATCCTCGGACTCTGGACTATCATCGTCGCTGGTCTCGTCGTATGTTTGCTTTCGTTTAGTCTTCAACATGCTCACAGGTAAGTATGGACTATCGTCTGGTAAGTAGTCCGATGTGTCGTCCGTCCTGGACGATAAAATTATGGGGTCGTTGCCCCTGCTATCCGTGGATAACGTGACTGGTCTTTCACTACTTTCAGGATCTTGCGTTATGGGTGTATCATTCAGCCACCCCAAGTCTGGTGTTATTCTATTTTCATCCGTGCGTACACTCTCATTATTCTCATCCTCCGGTGTTCGTTCCGGGTCACGGTGTACTTGAGCTTCTACTACGAACGTCTGAGGTCCTTCTTCATCAATGCTCATCTGATCCTGTTCAATCTCCGGTTGTTTCATCTCTATATCGTCCTGTGGCAACTCTACTATCCCTCCTGATATCTCAGGGATTTCCACCTGTTCCATTTCATCGGTAATCTCTACCGGTGATATCTTTTCGTATTTATAGCATGCCTCCCTATGAGGTCTTAGTTGCCTCGAGTTTGCGGAACCTGCGTTCGTTCCGTCTAACCATTTCAACGCGTAAGCGTTAGGATTTATAACCTCTGCTATTATGAGTGGTCCTTCATATATCGGGAACAGTTTTCTCGTCTTTTTGTGTGCTGACGAACTGATTTTATGCGTCTTGCGCCATACCTTTGTTCCTACTCTATACTCCTGCGCTATTCCGTGTTTATCCGCCTGTATTTTACGCTTTTTCGCGGCTTGTTGTAAATTTTCGCGCGATTCTAATACTCTCTTGTTTCTTTTTTCAGGTGCGTAACTAAATTCTTGTGCCCCTTCGATTGGTACTAATTCCGGCGGTAATTTTATTAACGCGACTCCTCCTGCTCTAAGCCTATATCTGTCGCTATACCATCTATCGCTATACTCTAGAGATACGGGTGGTACTCCCGTCGATGCGTGGGCCGTCAAGTTAAAGATTGCCTCTATACGAGGTAAAGCGCGAGTCCAGTCCTCGTGGTTCTCTGCTGAGTACGCTCTCAGCGCTCGACCTAATTCACGCATAACCCGTTCAACGGGGTTCGCCTGCGGATTGTAAGGCGTTGTTCGTTTTATGCTACTGCCTATCTGTCTAACGAATTGTTTCCACGTTCTAGTTACAAATTGCCCCCCACAATCTGTTAAGAGGGTGCGAGGTGTTAATCCTCTTCGGTGTATATAATCATTTTCAATTTTGTCTATTATCGTTTCTACTCGTTGGTTTTTAAGAGGGTATAGTGCTACGAATTTGGAAAACATGTCCATGACAACGAGGACATAGGCGCACTTGTCGCGCGATCTTGGCAATGGGCCATACAAATCAATGGAGACTACTTCTCCTGCTTCATTCGGTAAATCGTAATATTGGGTACCGACCGTCGGTCTCGTGTACCACTTCGTAGCAATGCAGACGTCGCATGATGCGACCACGTCTCTAGCTAACTCATCTATGTTGACTATGTGGAAAAACGATTTCGTAAATTGTATTATCTTATCCGTGCCGAAATGTATCAAGTACCTGTGTACTTTCTCCAGGAAGTCCCATGCTGCTTCTCGTGGTATTATCACTCTGTCGTTGATCGTTCTCACGATTCCATTCCTCTCCGTGAATCCTTGTGGATTATTTCTCATTCGTTGTTGCAGCTCTTCCGATACCTCTCGTACCGTTTTTATCCATTCGACCCATTCCGTGGGATCGCTTTCTTCCTTAGGATCGGCACTTACTGCTCCTATCTGTTTCCTTTTCTTTCCTTTGTTCTCACACTCTTTCTTTTCTCGTTCTAATGTTTCCTTTTCTTCTGTTTCAGGTTCGATCATCGGATTCCTGCTGATTGTGTCTGCGATAACGTTGCTTTTACCAGGTAAGTGTGTAATCTTAAGGTCATAGTTGTTCAACCTTATCATCCATCTAGCTATACGACGGCTATGACAGGCGCATGTTGATAAAAACAAAAGCGCTCGATGATCGGTCCTAACCGTTACCGTCCTACCATACAATATTGTGTTGAATTTCTTAAGCGCCCACACTAGCGCGAGAGCCTCCTGCTCCGTCGTAGGATAATTCCTTTCCGCCGCCTTTAGTGACCTACTGATGTATGCTAGAGTATATTCCGTATCTTTATCAAATTGATACAACCTGGCACCTATTCCTACTGTCGACGCGTCCGTTTCTAATCCGAATGGTAGCTTGGGTTTTATGAGGAATAATTTATCCGCTTGTCGGAAAGCTTCCTTTACTTGTTCAAATGCTGTTTCTTGCTCCGTGGTCCAATGATATCTGGCTCCTTTTATTAATAACAGCTCCAACGGACGTGTTAGTCGCGTCAAATTTGGGACGAACCTCCTGTCCCAGTTGATTAATCCTAAGAAACTTTGCAACTGTTTCTTGCTTCTTGGGCGAGGAAATGCGTTTATCGCTTCTTTGGTTTCCTCTGTCATTTTGACTTGTACCGTGGACAAATCGTGTCCTAGGAACTGTACTTGCGGTGTGATGAACTCGCATTTATCTCTGTTGAGTTTCACTCCCAACTCTTGGAGTGCTTCGAATAGTTCCTGTAATTGAGCCAAGTGCTCCTCTATCGTCATGCTCGCGATCAGTATATCGTCCATATAAATCATAACGTTTGGACGTAGATGGTGTACTTTGTCCAGGGCTTGGTCCAGCGCCCTGCTGAATGATGCTCCAGCTGTCTTTAACCCGAATGGCATTCTCAAATACGCGTAAGTTTGTCCATCGAACGCGAAGCCTGTGTATTGCACCGAGTCTGGGTGCATGGGTATTTGCCAATATGCTTGGTTGATATCAAGCTTGCTGTACACTCTCTTGTCTCCTATTCTGGCTAGCACTTCGTCAATAGACGGGGGTTGAGCATGGTCCGCTTTGGTGACTTCATTTATCGCTCGCGCATCGAGGCAAAGTCTTATACCTCCGTGATGCTTCTCTACGACTACTAGAGAATTAATATACTGCGTAGCCATCTTCTT